CCTCCATCTTGTGTTCTCCCCTCCCTCAGCTGCTGGAAGGGCAGCCTCCCTGTACTTCCTGCACTGACCCACTGCCTTCTCCTGCGGAGGGCAGGTACTGCCTGTGCTGTAAGTGCCCGAGACATACTCAGGCCCGGGATACAGCTCCTTCAAGAAAACTCCCACCTGCCTGTCTGGCCCTGACTCTGCCACGTCCTCCAGGGAAGCGCCGTGTCGGACGGCTTGGCAGAGTTAGTGGAAACATAACCGTCTCGGGGGCTGACCTGTGCTAACTCGTGGTCAGTCCCAGGCCCTAGCTGGTGCATGGCTCTGAACTTGTCTAGAAAGGTTTGTTGGCCATATGGTTTATGGGCCTGGGCAGGAAGCAGGGATCTGCACACTCTTTTGCTGACTTCTTTCCCTTCCTGGAAATAAGCTCATGCAGGGTTGGCCCTCGGGCCGGCATGCCACCTCTGCCCAGGTCACCTCTGGTGGCATCCATCTAAAAAAACAGAGACATACAACAATGTCAGAAGACAGTCTGCAATTACCGAGGGAAGCTGATCACATGTATGCCCTAGAACAGAGAAATTCCGTTCCTGGGAATGTACCCAGGGAGACCCTTGCACACATAAACCAGAAGACACATACAGAATCCTTTAGAGGAGCCTCAAACTGGAAACAACCCAAGTGTCCATCACCACTAGAATGGATAATTAACTTGTAGTACTTTCACACAATGGATTGCTATACAAGAAAAAAACTTGACCAAATTACATCTCCACTCATTAACATGAATGAATCTTTAAAACCTGTATAGTGATAAGCCAAGGAAGCAAGACAGAGAATTTATTTAGGATGAGTCCAAGTGTAGAAAGTTAAAAAAAAAAACACACACACACACACACACAAAACAGGCAATCTAAACAATAGGATTTAGGGATATGCATCGAGGTAGGAAACCATAACAAACAAACAAAAAACAGGAAGAAAGGATTGTCACTGAGTTTAGGATGGTGACTTCTTTGGGGGAGAATGTGTCAGGGAGGCTTCTAAGGTACTTGGAATCTTTATTGAGCTGGGTGCCGGGTGCACAGGAATTTATTATTCTTCTTTACACCACAGTTATGCATGTTACATACTCTTCTGTAAATATCAGACATTTTACGCAAGAAGAAAAAAAAGGATGGTCTGTGCTCAACTCTTTCCCCCATCAATCCCATTCTTGTCCTCAGCTGCCACAGGAGGGGCCAGAGTCCCTCATCACAGTTCTTTTCTGTTTCTGAGTGGGTCAGAGGAATATGGGGGGGTGAGGGCCTCCCCTCTGCAGCTGGGGCCCGGCCACTCCAGGGTGAGAAGGCCGGTGGAAAGCAGGGCCAGGCGAGGCCGGCTGGCTCTGCTCTTCCTGCCAACTCTAGGGATTAGGCCAGGGCTCTGGCCCACCTGTTCCTTCACTCATTCGACATGAACATAGCCACTGAGCACTTACTGTGAGCCCTGGGTGCTGTTGGGAAGGTTCAGATAAGTGAGAAATGGTCTTTGACCTCAAAGATCTTACAGCATACTCAGAGGTAATCATGTATACAAATAACATGGTGCCAGGAGAATGCGAGCTACGTGTCACATGACTACTTATCTACTCTTTCAATAAACATTTGTTGAGCACCTATTATGTACCAGGAACCATGCTGGACGGTGCACATATAAAAGGCAGTTAAATCATAATCCTGGCCCTTAAGTTCTTAGCCTAATGCAGGGGAAACACACATACAAGATAAATACAACAGTGGGGCAGCAAGCCCACTGATGCAGAACTGCCCAGGGGGAAGCAGGAAGGCCCCCCTGCTTAGGATAGGTGAGATGGGGATGGGGAGTAGGGAAGGTTGGAGTAGAGAGGTCATCCTAAACATTCAGACCCTGAACTGAGACTTTGGGGATGAAGAAATCAAGAGCAAGGTGAAGTGCTGGAAGGACATCTTTCGCAGAGCGACCAGATAGCGCATAGGCACAGAGGTAAGGAACAGTGCCCGAGGACTATTTGCAACTGAAACACGAGTACTCAGCAGGGATGGGGAGAGAAGCAGCTGGCAGGGACAGCAGAGGGGGGTCAGAGTCATATTGGTCTTGCAAAAGCTTAAATTTTATTTTTTTAAAAGAATTTTTTTTTAGACCTTTATTTATTTGAGAGAGAGAGACAGAGAGAGAGAGAGAGACAAGAGTGTAAGCGGTGGAGGAACAGAGAGAGAGGGAGACACAGATTCCAAAGCAGGCTCGAGACTGAGGCGTCAGCACAGAGCCCAATGCGGGGCTCGAACCCACGAGCTGTGAGTTCATCACCTGAGCCAAAGTTGGATGCCTAACTGACTGAGCCACCCAGGTGCCCCATAAAACCTTAAATTTTACAGGTGCTGAGATCCAGTGAAGGATTAAGGGGGAGCTGGAGAATTTATTCCAGCTCAGTATAGAGGCAGGGTAGAGGGGCATGATTGGAAGAAGGCAGGCAAGTTGTCAGGTTGTTTTGGATCCAAGAAAGGGATAGGCTAGCTCTGTCTGAGAGTAGGTGGGTGGTGGGTGTAAGAGACACCAGGTTCCTGCTGAGCTACCAGGTTGAGCAGAGGGAAAAGAGGGCTCCAACCCGGAACCAGTGTGGCTCTGGGCTTGAGGTACTAAGGAGCACTAAGTGTGGGCAGAGGATAGCAAGAAATGTGAATGGGACTGTGCACCATTTGATCCCAGGGTTCCCAAATGCTGGCTTGTGGACAGGACTGGACTGAGGAAGTGAGGAAAATGCAGGCAGTTAATGAGCTTCTTACAACTTTCGTTTTTGTTTTTGGTTTTGTTTTTTTAATTTTTTAAAATGTTTTATTTGTTTTTGAGAGAGAGGGAGAGAGAGACAGCGTGAGCAGGAGAGGGATAGAAAGAAAGGGAGACACAGAATCCAAAGACAGGCTCCAGGCTCTGAGCTAGCAATCAGCACAGACCCGATGCAGGGCTCGAACCCACAAATTGCGAGATCATGACCCGAGCCAAAGTCGGATGCTTAACCGACTGAGCCACCCAGGCGCCACTGTTTTTTGTTTTTAAGTAAGATTCAAACCCAGCATGGTGCCCAACATGGAATTTGAACTCAAGACTCTGAGATCAGAAACTCTCTCTCCTTTCCTTTCTAAGTCTCCCAGACACTTTATTTGTATCTGCTCTCTCTCTATCTTCAATAAACTCTCTTCTTACTAAAACAAAACACCTGAGATCAAGACCCAGGCTGAAGAGTCAGATGCTCAAGTGAGCCACCAGCACCCCTGTAATGAGCTTCTGATAAATTAAATGTATGCACATTGAAGAACTATTCTTAGAAGTGTTCGTAATTAAATCAATAAAGAAGCATGTTACTTAAGAGGCATAAAGTGAATTACGAAGAGAAATCTCTTAAAGATTCAAGAATGGTTTTGTCCTGAGAAGAGGGGTGGGAAACAGAGGAGGTTTTTTTGCTTTGTTTTGTTTTGTTTGTTTATTTTGGGAGAGAAAGAAAGTGCAAACTGGGGAGGGCAAGGAGAGAAGGGGGGAGAGAGAGGGAGAAAGGGAGAGAGGGAGAGAGGAAGAGAGGGGGAGAGAGAGAGAGAGAGAGAGAGAGAGTCCGTCCCAAGCGGGCTCTATGCTGTCAGCACTGAGCCCAAGGAGTAGCATGACTCACAAACAGGGAGATGGTGACCTGAGCTGAAATCAAGAGTCAGAGGCTTGACCAACTGAGCCCCGACTGAGCCACCTAGGTACCGCGAGATTAAAAAGTATAATGAAACTGTTAAACTATCATATTTTAAAACTTATTAACATAAAATATATGCAAAATTTTAAAAGGAAAAGGAAAGCACTGGCTTTTGTTCTGAGTTTACATCCCTCTATTTGAGTTGCTAAGTGTTTTCTTTGGTATGAAATTATACAAGGTAGAGGATATACAGCTCATCCTCCGCTCCCTACCACGTCCTCATTTGTCAAAAATAACCAAAAACTAAAAACCGTCGCTGAGTCCCGTGCATCCTGAAATCTGACTGGGAGCCGCTAGTCCAGAGCACCTGGCCTAAGGCCAGAGAACGGCGAGCCTGTAATCCCGCTGCCGGCCGGCAGAGGTCAGGCGAGTTCCACGCAGGCCCTGCGGAGCCGCACCCCAGCTCCAGTCCTCGAGTCCCAGCAGCGCTCTCCGAAACGCGGTCCCACCACGGAGCTGGGCACAGGGAGGACCCCGGGCTGCCCTAGCCTAGGGATCGCGATCAACGGCTATCTGGGATCTGAGTCCCGGCTTTGCCTGGCAAGGTGTGGGCTGGGCGTCCGCTGCCAAATCAAAAAGAGGGTTCCACACCCCAGCTCCCGCAAGGCGTTGACACTAGCTCGGGCTCCACTTCGCTCCTGGGCGTGGCTAGCTCACGGCGCTGTGTTCCCCAGTGTTCGATGCCCACGGGCCACTCACCTTATCCGTCTTCTGGAAGGCGGCCCTTGCACAACATTGCCTTCTGCAGTGGTCCTGGCGAAGACCAAGAGCTAGTATGTCAAAACGAGACTTGAAGAGTGCTACATAGGCAAGCAACTGTTCTTACTAGATGATATTAGAGGATTCAGGCTTCTGGAGAAGTGTCCTCTAGGCCACAGGTCAGTTACTCTAAAAGGTTGCCTGTGCCTCAGAACTGCCCCTGGAGATGTGATAGGATCTGGGGTTGATCAAAGGATCTACATTTTATAGATTGCCAAATTCTGATGAACAGTGTGCCCAGACCGCACTTGGAGAACCATTCTGTTTCTGTTGCCACCCTGCAGGGCAAACTGTAGGAAAACAAAGAATGGGATGGTAGTCAACAGGGGAGCTGAGCTGGTAGTGTGACCTGCCTAAAATTGGAGTGGAATTAGAAGCAGCCCCAGGAAGGAAAAGTGCTGGCAGCTGGCTCTATGGTTACAGAATGCACCTGAACCTCAAACTCCCACCAGAACCAAAGTGGAAGTGGCCCCTGCTCTTCCATTCATGACTCAGGCTGCACTCTTCTATTTATTTATTTTTGGCTTTAAAACATTTCTTTTCTATTTCACATAGATTATCAGGGGAACAATCACATTCTCCCCACGTTGGTGGCAGGGCTCCTTAACTCACACAGACTGGAGGAAACATTCCTTTCTGTCACATTCTGAATGTTTCTGGACTCTTTGTTCCAGCTACACTTTAAGCCCAGCAAGACCAGTATTCTGGCCACGTTCATCTCCAACACAGCAAGGGGCAGGGTGGAGTCATAAGGAGACAGTGCCCCAAGCCCTGGGTTCCCCCCCCCCCCCCCCCCCGGAACTGGGCTGGATTTCGGTAAGGCACTAATGCCACCTGTCTCAAGCATCAGGCTGGAATAGCACTTGGCTACAGGCCAGGACCAAAAGTCAGAAAGGCACCCCTGGGCTGAGAGCCAAGAAAACCAGTTCTTTGAAGTAATTTAGATAGCGTGGAACCACCCAAACCCATTCCACTCTTGACTATGCGGTGGGGCCCCAGGCTGGCATTCTCGTTTCTGCTCCTCTGGATTCGAGCTCCAGTTCTGACCTTGAGAAAATCAAATTGTCTTGATCTTGTTAAATACCATGGGGATGGTGTCCAAAAACTTAAAAGCTTCCTTCTGGCTCTAAGACTCTTAACCTCTCTGGGAGATCTGGGAAAGGGAGGTTAAAGCCTCTTCTGTCCTAAAGGTAGAGGCCACCTCTTTGTCCCGCATCACCAGTAAGCAGGCTGAAGGGCAGGGGGGGTAGCACCTGGACTAGCCATTCTCCAAGGACATGGGGCTAGAGCCGGACGGGAGGCTGTAGCAAGTAGATTGTTTCGCTCCCAAAACACCATTTTAGAAGCAGAAGGGTTTGCGCCCTAATATGTTTAATACAAAATGGCAGCAGCTGCTGTGCTGTTCTAACAGAACTAGCCATGTGGTGTCCAGAGAAATGTACACAGGCAGCCTTGGCTGGAGTGGAGTCTCCAACCCAGGCCCGCTGTAGGCTGTCATCAGGCCAGGACTGGACGGCGGTGGTGGCAGAGGAGCACTCAAGGGTTCAGAGGTGCTGCCACGGAGACTGGTGCTGAGCCGATCTCTCCCCAGCACACTGACCTCTGCCCCATGGTGGAGTCCGGGTGGCACAGGTGTTCTGAGATGCCTATTCCCGGAGCTCTGGCCCAACATGGTGGGATCTCAGCCCTAAAAACTGGAGCCCTGGGGGAACAGCTAAGCTGCTGCAGAGTGGGTGCCCATTCATAAACTGCTGGGAGTGGATGCCTCTAGAAATCGGCAGAAACAAAGGCTAGGTTTTGGCGGTTTTTCCTCCCCAGAAAGAAGAGATTCCTAAAGGTTCAAATACACGGAGAGGAGCAATGTTTGTGGTGTCCTGGGCTCCCTGGCAGAGGTATAGCTGAGAGAAGGAGTGGGTGCCTGCCCGCCCCCAAGTGCCCACCCAGGGAAGTGGGGCCTCGGAAGTTAGAGAGTCACCAAGGCCTTCCTGACAAGCCCCGGAAAAGCTACTATGCTTCCAGCTGTGTCCATTTTAAGCCACTGAACACTTTTCAGTTAGGCCCTCCACTGGCCACAACCTTCATTAACGCCCCACAGCATCTTCAGATCAGAAGGTGTGGCTAAAAATGCCGCCCCCTTCCCCCCATGCTTGCCCACGTCTGGCCCGGCTGGCTGGCCCCGCTCTGAGGCCCGAGCACTCGGCAGCTGGGCCGCAGGAGAGCCACCATATCTCTACTCTCAAAGAAAGGCCTCTAGGTGCTGGGAAAAGGGGCGAAGCGTCTTGGAATTAGTGGAAGTCCGCATTGAAGGCTCTGCCGATGATCAGCCGCCTCACCTCGCTGGTCCCGGCCCCAATCTCATACAGTTTGGCATCTCGCAGAAAGCGGCCCATGGGAAAGTCGTTGATGTAGCCATTGGCACCTGCAGCCAGGGTTTGGGCAGAGGCGAAAGGACAAAAAGGGGTGATGGGCAGTGAGGAAAGCAAACAGAAAGCCAAGTATATAGAAACAGGCCAGAGGAGGGGAGACGGATGGAAGAGAAGCAGCTAATGGTGGTGAGAATGTGGGGAACACCGCGCTGCGGGGCAGGGCGGCGGGGGGGTGGGGGGGATGGGGTGGGTGCATGGGTCATGGGGCTGGAAGGGCATCCAGAGTGCTGAGGGTACCAGGCAAAGCTTGGGAGAGCCACTGGCAGACCCGGGAAGGGGGACAAAACGATACTGCGGGGCACTTACTGGGTGCCAGGCCCAGGGAAGTTAAGTAATTTGCATGAGTCACAAAGCCGGGCAGTGGTAGAGCAAAGGTTCCAACCTACACCTTCTGGCTTGGGTCTGTGCTCTTAACTACTGCTCAGCAGTGAAACAAAGCCGTCCTGCCCTTGAGGCTTGTCTCCCTCCCCATTTCCCAGTGTTCACCATATCAGGCCAGAAGGAGGAGAGAGAATATTGCTGAAGGTAGGAACAGTTCGTAAACTCTAGCACTTTTTCCCATTTATTTAACATGTCCTCCTAGTACCCAGGGCAGAAGGAGCCGAAAGGTGCCAACTCCACTGCAGTGAGCCAAAGCACAGAGCGAGTGAAGAGGACGCCTCGTTCTGTGGTTGGGGGTAGGGAGCGGGGGCCACTCACCAAAACACTGAATGCCGTCCAGGGCTACCTGCGTGGCGCACTCAGCTGAAAAAAGAATCACCCCCGCGCAGTCCTGCGGGACGAGGCTCTGGGTCAGCGGGCCCCTGCCAGGGCCCCCCCGGGAAGGAGTCCCAATAGCCGGCCCTTACCTTGGCAGTGCAGTGGCCCTGATCACAGGCCTTGGCGACATTGTAGACGTACTGCCGACACGCCACGAGGCGGGTGTACATGTCGGCCATCTTCCCCTGCATCAGCTGGGCACAAGGGGAGGTCACAAGTCAACATGTGGAGCCACATTCCTCTCAGACGCTCCCCACTAGTTGCCACAAGCAGGTGGGCAGTAGCGACCTGACAGCCAGGCAGGGGGTACCAGGGCACAGGGAGGGATGGCACTTGCCTAGGATGACGGGGATGGCTAGAGAGCTGTCGTCGCTATGGAAACTACACACTGAAATGGCCCTCCACCCACGGCAACCCACATTAACATCCCGTGGTGGCTTCGGACCAGAAGCGTGACTAGCCACGCTGCCTCTCTCCCCATGCCTGCCTACAACCTGCACGGGTCACCTTGCAGCTTTACGACGTCCAGCTCAGTCATCTCAAATAGGACGTGAGATGACCTGTGATTCACCTTCCTGACAGGTTCCAAAGCCAGGGAGCATGACAAGGAAGCCTGTGTTCCAAGCATTCAGACTAACGCTGGTGGCAAGAGACAGCAAGCGTCCCTCTTGCTCGTTTGTTAAAGAAAATTTGAGCCCAGTGAGAAAAGGTACTTAGAGGCCAAAGTACCAAATGGCAAACGCCATTTCCACTCACCTGGAAGTGGCCAATCTTCTTGCCAAAGGCTTCCCTCGTGTGCAGGTAGGGAATGGTGTGGTCGAGGACAGCCTGCATGAGCCTGCCAGAAAAGAGGAAGACACTGGGGAGGCGCCTTGCTGTATCCCCGCTGCCAGCTGGGGTGACAAAATGCCGCCGTGGGAAGGCTTGGCGGGATATAGCTTGGGAGGACAAGGAACTGGAGTCCCAGGGAGGAGAAAAGCAGCAGGAGGGCTCTTATCACCCCTGCTCAGTCACTGCACTGACCACCCGGGACTTGGGCCCCTTCCCCTGACACCAGAGAGAGGGGCAGGACCCCTGTGCAGGTGGGACGGAGAGCCCGGGCATCCTGTCCCAGCCCGAGTAACTGAGTAGGATGGTATCTCAGGCCTTTTGTTTGTCATCGAATAATATTTGCCTTCATTGTGAAGAAATTAAATGTGGGAGGAGGAGATCTGTTCATTTTGCCTCCAGGAGAGGAAGTGTGTCTTCCAGGAGGCAGCTTCCATTGGCTCCACAGGGGAAGTCTGCGAAGGTACCAAGGAGGCCAAAAGCCCAGCTCTGCCAAGCCTCACACTCACCCGAGGGGCCCACCAGCCAGCACGAGGCGTTCCAGGTCTAGCCCACTCATCAGCACGTAGACGCCCTTACCTAGATGGCCCAGGATGTTGGCAGCTGCCAGGAAAAATGCTGGTTAGAGGGAAGAGGGCTGTTCACAGCATCCTCACTTTAAAAAAAATTTTTTTAAATGTTTATTTAATCTTGAGAGAGAGAGAGAGAGACAGAGCCTGAGCGGGGGAGGGGCAGAGAGAGAGAGAATGAGACACACAGAATCCGAAGCAGGCTCCAGGCTCTGAGCTGTCAGCACAGAGCCTGATGTGGGGCTCAAACCCACGAACCATGAGATCATGACCTGAGCCCAAGTCGAACGCTTATCCAGTCGCCCCCAGCTGCCTCGCTTTTAAAAAAGCCGGTAGGGGGGCGCCTGGGTGGCTCAGTCGGTTAAGCGTCTGACTTCAGCTCAGGTCATGATCTCATGGTTCGTGGGTTCGAGCCCCGCGTCGAGCTCTGTGCTGACAGCCAGCTCAGAGCCCGGAGCCTGTTTCAGAGCTGTATCTCCCCTCTCTCTCTGACCCTCCCCTGCTCACGCTGTCTCTCTCTCTCTCNGATCTCATGGTTCGTGGGTTCGAGCCCCGCGTCGAGCTCTGTGCTGACAGCCAGCTCAGAGCCCGGAGCCTGTTTCGATTCTGTATCTCCCTCTCTCTCTGACCCTCCCCTGCTCACGCTGTCTCTCTCTCTCTCAGAAATAAATTAAAACATTAAAAAATTAAAAAAAAATAAAAATAAAAAAAAAGCAGCTAGGTCTGGTACCATAGCTTTCACACAGGCACTAAAATTTCACCTGACCTTCAACCACGGTCCTGAGTGAGAGAAACGGATGAAGTTTGCCACTTTCAGTCAGAAGTAGAGCTTGCTGGAAGGACGCCCCCTCCCCTGCCACTGCCAATCCGCCACACACACACACACACCACCCACAAGACCAGACACAAAGGCCCCATCCTTAGATCGTCCCCTTCTCTTCCTCAACTGCCTTGGATGGGAAAGAAAAGCTAAAGCTAATTTGGTCGAGAAGTCATCCACAGTTCTTTTTCCCCATGTCCATAAAGGAAACCGAGAATTAGTATCCCCCAGGTTGGGTCTGCTCTGCTCCAATATCACCAGCCCTCACCTCTCACAAGAGTGATCTATGGAAGAGTCTTTGTCCAAGAGATGGGTCATTCAGTGCTAGTTATAGAAACTGCTAGAGGCGCCTGGCTGGCTCGGTCAGTAGAGCATGTGGCTCTTGATCTCAGGGTCATGAATTCAAGCCCCATGCTAGGTTGTGGAGCCTACTTACAATTCAGTACAATAAAGAAACTGCAGAGCACTTGCCCACCCTGGAAGCCAGGACAGTGGATGGCCTTGGGAGGGGTGAGCACAAGCCTAAGTGCAGCGTGGACACCACTGACCTGCCTAATGATGGTGGTTGTTTCCTGCTGACATAGAAGGATTGGTACAGACTCCCCCAGCTCCCTAGATGCCCTTTGTAACCAAATCATCCTTTTCTGGGGTCCTGAGTCATGAGGGAGAGGGATGGTCAATGGCTGAGGCACAGAGCGAACCTAGCTGGCCATCGAATCTATGCCCTTGTCTCCTTAGCACATGACAGGTATGCTGGCTCTCCCATGATGTGTCGCGTTTTCAGTTACACTTCAGGGGTGAAAATACTCAAACTGGATCGCCTGGTCTTCACTGAGTCAGGCTTCCATCAGTTTATTTGAATGGTTCTTTAGCATTGTTCATGACTACCTCACGTGGGCTGTTCATGGAAATGCACAAACGAGGATGCCTGAAGGACATTAGAGAATGAGGGCACACCTTACCTGTCTATTCCTGACACTGGAATACCACCCCGCCCACGGCACGGTGCGTTATCACCCTTCATCGCAGCCACGGTCAGCCACACAGCTCTGGCCAAAAGCACAGTTGCTTGGCAGCCCGAGTGCCACATGGACGGGCCAGTGGGCAAGGGGGGTAGTAGGAGGCCAACTGCCTAGACACATGGCATCAGTAAGCTGACAATGGTGAGCTTCTCTTACCCAGAGATGGGCTTTCTCAGCTTATGAAAGGGTCAGGACAGGGGCTTGGTCATTGGAAACTCACCCGGAACCTTGCAGTCTTCAAAGATCAGCTCACAGGTGTTAGAGCCCCTCATCCCCAGCTTGTCCAGCTTCTTGGAGGTGCTGAAGCCAGGCATGCCCTTCACAGGAACAGAAGGTGGCCCGGTTACCAGCCAGTTCCTAAGGGGGGCTAGTTAAAGGCAGACTTCCTGGGACACGCCAACCTTCCCATCCAGCCCCTGAATTTGCACAACTGCTACCCCCTACTCTCAGAGACCCTACTCTGTACGACTGCTCCACTCCCAGAAGCTCCGGCCCTGACACCCCCCTGCTCCCCGACTCCCAGCTCTGCTGCTACGTGTGTTCTCCCCACTCCTCATGGGATCAGTTCTTTCTCAGTGAAACACCCACTCTCTGCATGATCCCTGACCTTTGCTGGCCTTGTTTCCTTTCCTCAGGGGAGAGCGCTTCCAAGACCCTCTCTCCAGCCCCCTCGATTCCTTTGCCTCTGTACCTGAGTCCACTCAGGATTAATCCAGCCATCTATGCGCTTTGGCCTGGCTAATCAGATTCAGAACGCATTGCCAAGTAACTAGCAGAGAGTGCCTGATGGGCAGGCTGACAGGAGTGATGCCATGGGACCTTGAGATTTCCAACCTCAGCCAGGCCCCTTGGGCTACTCGCTTTTCTTGTCCTCCAGCCCCCTCTCTCCATGGAGGGTACCACAAACATTTATGATACTCATTCATGGAACTTTCTCCCCAACCCCTCACTCCTGTGATTCCCAGCCCTCACACCTTGAGGTCATGAGGCAGACAGCTCCTCCACCATCACGTGTAACCCGGCCTTACCTCCTTCCCACAGCTCACCGTTGGGCCTTGCTCACTTGTTCCTACACACAATTCCTCCCTCTCCCCTTCTTTCCCTCTACCAAATAATTTGCTCAGTTCTCTCCCCTTCTTAAAAACAAACTCAAAGCCCACCTTTTCATTCCAACTCTAGTTCCATCTCTGCCTTGCTTTGCTGCAGTCTTTAGTCACCCCCCAACCTGCATTCTCATTCACGCTGTGGTCTCCACAGCTGCTCTCCCCAAGGCTACCAGTTACATCCTGGTTGTGACACCCAGTTGCCTTTTAGTCTTCATCTTCCTGGGCCGATTTGTGTGGCCCGGCTCTAAGGATAGCTCCGCCATTCTTAGACTTGACCCATCCTTCCTGGGCTCCACTCTGGCCACCCTCCTCTCTGTTGGCTCTTCTGCCTCACTCCTGCTTCAGAGCACACACTGACTGTGTCTGCCGCCAACAGAAGGGAACCATCTCTGGTACCACTGGCAGGAGACAACAGCCCCCCGTCATGCACTGTCCCCCATTCACCTTCTCAACGATAAAGGCCGTGATGCCTCGAGAGGCTGGCACAGCAGCCAGATCGGTTTTAGCATAGACGATAAGGATGTCCGCGTCGGGGCCATTGGTGATCCAGAACTTGTTGCCATTTAGGACGTAGTGATCACCTAAGGACAAGAAGCTGGCTACTTGCTCAAGCCATGGTAGCCTGTCTCAGCACTCAGTTCATGGACCTGCTGCCAGAAACAGTTCTGGAAACCCAGCAAGGGCCACCCCCGATCGCTGCTGCCTCACGCTGAGAAGGCCCATCCCTCTGTCCATTTCAGCTCCTGCTTCAGAAACTCCCAACTCAAGAGGAGCCTCACCTTCTTTTTCCGCTTTTAGCTTCATGGAGACGACATCAGAGCCAGCATTGGGCTCACTCATGGCCAGGGCTCCAATGTACTCACCGCTGATCAGCTGCAAGGGAAACCCCAATGGCTGGTTATGACTCAGAAGTGCCCTATAGGAGCTCCCTTGTCCTGCTCTCACCTGTGCACGTGACACCCCTTCAAACTCCTCTCAGAAGCCTACGGTCTACAAAACTGAAAATATCTTTCCTTTCCCATTCCCTTTGCAAGGGAAGCAAGTCCTGGTCTGGCATGTCTTAAAATGCTCTGCAGATATTGTCCAGGGACTGACCCGGGACTTCTGGTCCTAGTTCTAATTCTTTTTTTTTTTTTTTTTTAATGTTTTTACTTATTTCTAGGAGAGAGAGAGAGACAGCGTGAGCAGGGGAGGGTCAGAGAGAGAGGGAGCCACAGACTGAAACAGGCTCCAGGCTCTGAGCTGGCAGCCAGCACAGAGCCCGACGCGGGGCTCGAACCCACGAACCGTGAGATCATGACCCAAGCGAAAGTCAGACGCCCAACCGACCAAGCCACCCAGGCGCCCCAAGGTCCTAGTTCTAATTCTGACTGGATTATTTTAAAGCAAATCCCCGACCCCTTCCTCACTATACCCACTTGAAGGCAGCATACTGGAGGTAGCAAGTCTGACTGGCTCTTGCCAACAGGGGAGGGTGCCTCAGGGTTGGTGGTGGCATTGTGACACTGGTGTGTTTCTCCATTCCTGTGTCCTCACCTTGGGGAGATACTTTTCCTTCTGGGCCTCATTTCCATTGCGCACAATTTGGTTGACGCAGAGGTTGGAGTGAGCACCGTAACTGAGGCCCACTGCTCCGGAAGCTCGCGATATCTCCTCCATCACCAGCACTTGCTCCAGGTAGCCCAGGTCAGAGCCACCGTACTGGGCTGGGAGGGCAGGTGGCGCAGCGGAGTAGAAAAGGCAGCCAGGTTAAATGGTGCCGTTCATGGAAATGTTTACTGGCAGCACAGAAACACCCTCCACAGCCCCTATTCCAAGGCACCCCTAACAAGGGTGACAGGCTGATGCCAGAGGGCTCCACTTTACAAGCTCACAGAACTGGTTTTGTCTGCCGCCTCTGGTCAGTCGAGGCGTGGTTCCGAAAACGGTCATTGCAATGCCTGTGTTATCCCTGATAGACCGCTTGATGCAGACAAGGGAGCCTGAGCACCCGCTATTTGGAAGTGCCCGGGCAGATGAATAAATGAAAGAAGACCTGGAGTTAATCAAGAAACACAGAGAGGGAGGGTCAGAGCGCTAAGAATAGGTACCGAGCAAAGGATGCCATGTGCAAAAGGCCCAAGGGAGGTGAGATTTTTGCAGCACAGGTGTTTAGACTTAACAAAGCAGGACTAGCAAATCAACATGTTGAACACCTTAAGCTCATACAATGTTATAGACCAGTTATATCTCAAAAAAGTTAAAACTAAACAAAACAGCAAAACTAGTATCGAGGAGCAGGAGAGCCATGGCCAGTGAATTTCAGAACTCCTCACCAAAAAATGTGGCGTTTCCTTGGCAAAAGATCTCAGATTGAAGTGGTTGGATCATCTGGTACTACCGCTCTCCCCTCCCCTCCCGCCCGGGCCCTTGCTCTTTGGGTAAATCTTGGTAAGACTCTGCACACAGGAGTGCCTGGCTGGCTCAGTCAGTGGAGCATGCAGCTCCTGATCTTGGGGTTATGAGTTGGAGCCCAACGATGGGTGTAGAGATGACTTTAAAAAAATAAAAGCTTAAAAAAAAAAAAAAAGACTCTTTGCACACGTTTACTCTGACCATGAAGTCAGGCTCATCCTAGTCTCTAGGGAAAGATTAGCCCAATTCTTGCAAGTCTGGGAAGAAAAGACCACACGTGGGTGACACTGGAAATAGCCACCAGGACAACCAGGTGGAAACCAGAGCTCATCAGAACTGGCTCTCTTTGGGGGGCTCCTAAACCCCCAAGACACAGTGGAAGAAAGACTTGTTTAGGAATTTCCAGTGGCCTTCCCCCCTACCATTTTACTTTTTCTTTTAAGTAGGCTTCGTGACCAGTGCAAAGCCTAATGGGGGGCTTGAACTCAATGACCGAGACTGAGAGTCCTCTTAACTGACAGAGACACCCAGGGGCCCCACCCCTACCATTTTACATTAGGAGGGTCTAAATTAAAAAAAAATTTTTTTTAATTTTTTATTTATTTCTGAGAGAGAAAGAGAGAGCGAGCGAGCAAGCAGGGGAGGGTCAGAGAGAGAGGGAGACACAGAATCTGAAGCAGGCTCCAGGCTCTGAGCTAGCTGTCAGCACAGAGCCCGATGTAGGGCTTGAACCCACGAACCGTGAGATCATGAACTGAGCCGAAGCTGGATGCTCAACCGACTGAGCCACCCAGGCGCCCCAGGATGGTCTAAATTTTTAAGTCTTCCATTTTGTCATTACTCTTGAATCAGCTCAAGTGTCCGGAACTGTCTCCAAGTAGCAAGGGGGAGATTAAGAACTGTGTTCTGCCTCTATTCCAATATGAGTACAAGCTGAAGCAGTGTGGACTGTCCAGGCTTTGGCAGGTGAGGCCACAGGCTTATTTCTTCACTGGGTACCGCAAGCCACGCTGGGCCTCTCCTTCAGAGGCCAACATCCAAACCGAAGTCCACCAGCCCTGTGCCCTCTCCCCCTGGAAACAAGTAGTAAGACCCATAGGGGACAATGGGCAGGCCCAGGAAGAGCCTATTAAAGACATCATCTGACCACCTCATGGTGAAGCTCTCAAAAAAAGCTCCAGGGTCAGCTGTGGGTAGAGGACATAGGCAGTCCCCACAGGGACACATGGGTCTTGAGTGGGCCTGCCTAGACGCTATTGGTAGGGTAGAACTTAGGGGGTAGGGGAGACAGTAAGACAGTAAGACGTGCAAGACAGCTGTGTGATGATGGAGTTTTCTAAACTTCCAAAATCTCCTGGGGGTGCTTAGTAAGCATGCAGAGTTCAAGAGTCTGATCCTCACCCATGTGGCCCACACTGGCCTCATCCCCTTGCCTTCTAGATGCCACTGCCTAAAGGAATCGAGTGTACTCTTCTCTGGGCTGACAGTCTACAGGAGCTTTCTCGGGTCCAAGAGGAAGTTTCTGTCCCTGAGTTTCTTTGAGCATGATCTTTCCCCTCCTTTCCCATTTCTTTTGGGAACAGTGCCAAAGGGCATGTAAGAAAAGTTCTCAATAGGGAAGGAAACTCTACTCACCAGGGGCAGTGATGCCTAGGACCCCCAGGTTTCCTAGCTGCTTCCAAAACTCCTGCCAACAAAAAGGAATGAGTGCAGTGAGCTGTGAGAGGGCAGCCAGTCACAGGGGTCTGGCACACCTGGAATGAGACCCAGACACTTCACAGAAAGGGGCTGCATTCTTTGGGAGGTTTTATTTACCACAAGACTGTGTGAGCTCTTCCAGGCAGCAGTTCGATTCCCAGCCAAGCCTAGCCCAGCCCCCAAACTGCCCCCTTGTGGCTCTGAACCCCCACCCTCTAGTGGGGGCATCATGACTCACTCGTAGGTTCTTGAACTCATTGCTCTGATCAATCTCCTGGGCCTGGGGGGCTAGGTGCTCCTGCAGAAACTTAGCCATGGTCTGACGAAGCTAGAGGGAGAGAGGTGGACAGATGCCACTGAAACACCACATTACTGCCACAAAGAGCAGCATCTTCACTACTGAGGACACATTCAGGAAAACAGGCTACAAACAACCCACCAAACGGCATCAGGTTGAAACTGAGAGACCATCCCAGTTTATACTTCCTCAGAGATGATCTTCATCTCTCTTAAGGTCCTCAGCCTAGACAGCCTGTTTTTTTAAACAGTTAAAATAATATAAAAACATTTTTTTAATGTTTTTATTTATTTTTGAGAGAGAGAGAGAGACAGAGTACTAGTGAGGGAGAGGCAGAGAGAGAGGGAGTCAAAGAATCCAAAGCAGGCTCCAGGCTCTGAGCCGTCAGCACAGAGCCCGATGTGCATCTCGAACTCACCAACTGTGAGATCATGACCTGAGCAGACATTGGATGCTTAAATGACTGAGCCACCCAGGTGCCCCAACAGCCGAGTGTTTTTAAAATGTCACTCCCCTAAGTAAAATCATTCCATGGCTTTTGATTATACCTAGAAGGCTCTTTAGTCAGGCCTATTAAGGCCCTGCAATGAGCTGATCCCTCACGACTCTTCTAGCCTTCTCCAGTACCTTCCCCACCCCCACCCAATATGCTCCAGCCTACCCTCTTCAGTTTCTGGCACACGCCAGGCTTTCTGCCCCCGAACCTGTGGCTAACAAGGATTACACAAAGAGATTAGAAACTATTGGCAGAAACATTTTAGATCTAGAATTGAACCCTTCCTGCCGGAGGCGTTTCAAAGGTCTATCTACTGATTGCAAACCCAAATGGATGTTGGAGTTTTTGGAGGCTCAGACACTTGCTTAACAGGAAAATCAGGTTACTGGGGAACTCTGTGCTAGCATCCAAAGACACACAGCCACCTTCCTCCAGGAAGGTTCTGGTTCAGCTCCATCTGTAAGGAAGGACACTTCAAGTTACCGGTCAGCTTTGTGCTCTGATCCAATGGGCTGAAGAATTACAGCAGATTACACCGTGCACTTCACTGCACTTCCAAACCCCTGAGGTGTGTATTCGAAAAGGATTCCCTGGTGAGGATGACTAACGAGGCTTGAGAACCATAGTTTTAATGCAGTGTTCTGGCGGACTTCAGATACATTAAGGATTTTTTTTTTTTTTTTTGCCACGCGCAAATCTTGCACCAAAATACCAGCAGTCTCCCAGCAGCCTTCCTGTCTCTTCTTATCTAACTCGAAAGTAGGCTCTGCTGCCTTCACAGAGGTGAGGTTGAGAGGCCAGCGCCCACTCCCGCGCCCCGACTGCCGCAGCTGTGTGGGCGCTGGGCAGAGGGACCTAGAGGCGACCACCGAGCAGGGCGATGAGGCAGGGCCCGCAGGCCTTGGGGCCCGGAAGGGAACAGGCTCCCTACCTGCTTCTGCTCCTCGCTGAGCCCGTTGATCGCATCGTCCACAGGCAAGAGGGAGTGGGCCCGCTGGGACACGAGGCTAGCGAGCGGCCCCAGCGGAGTCCGCAGCCTCCAATTCGCCAAGCGCCGCCCCAGAAGCCAAGCCGCCATCGCCATCTCGGCCGCGCACTGGAAGCTGAGAGAGCGCGCGAGAGACAGGGGCAACGAGCCCGCCCACAGGCTCCACCAATCCCGGGCTTTGCTGCCCTCACCCAATCGGCGAGGGGGTGGGTCCCCAGCAGCCTATCACCCTTCTCTGCTGGCGGAGGCTAAGCTGCCCCTGGCACATGAGCCAATTAGCGATGACCGCCCGACTGCCTACATCCTGGTGGGGTTGGGGCGGAGGGCGCTGGACCTGCTATGCTGAGGTCGTTTTGAGGTTGGGACTTTTGTTAGAGGGCGAGAAAGGCGTCTCTGAGTGGAGTGGTATCTCCCTTGCGTTGAAGTAGCAGTCCGTAACTACAAAACTCTGTAGGTCCCCAGCGGGAAAGGAAGTATTAAAACAGCCTGGGTTGCCCACGGCTTGGAAATAAATTGTTAAAGCCTATCTGGGATAGCTCAGATTGGGTAAGTAGCATTGGCTCTAGCGTGCACACTGATAGAGGTCAGTGAATTTTGTTATGTAGCAGGGTTTATCGATTTTGGACTTTTGTGGGAAAGAGTTGCTGTCTTCCAAATTATTTAATGTACAATAATAGCAATCAGGGGGTGCCTGGGTGGCTCAAGTCAATTAAAGTGTGGGGACTCTTGATTTTGGCTCAGGTCATGATCTTATGATTTGTGAGCTGAGCCCTGCCTTGGGCGCCTGCTTGAGAGTTTTTCTCTCTTTCCCTCTCTCTGCCCCTCCCCTGCTTGCTCTTTCTCTCTCTCTCAAAAAAAAAAACAACAAAAAAAAAAACATCAATCAGGACTTTTTAAATTTTTTTTTTAATGTTTTATTTATTTCTAGGAGAGAGAGAGAGAGACAGCGTGAGCAGGGGAGGGTCAGAGAGAGAGGGAGTCACAGACTGAAACAGGCTCCAGGCTCTGAGCTGGCAGTCAGCACAGAGCCCGACGCGGGGCTCGAACCCACGAACCGCGAGATCATGACCTAAGCGAAAGTCGGACGCTTAACCGACTAAGCCACCCAGGCGCCCCTTAATCAGGACTTTTTAAAAACAGGGTTGGGGGTGAGGATAGAGAAAAGGAAGAGTACTGTGTTACAAGTATTAAAAAGAAAACCACAAAGCCATAGTGGAGCCACTTAAGGCTCTAAGTCAGTAAACCAAGACTTACTGCCTAACCTAGGCAGTTTCACCTCCCCAAAAAATGTAACCTTTACAGCAGCTTGGAGCCTGCTTCCGGTTCTGTCTCTCTCTCTTTGCTCCTCCCTTGCTTGCACTCTGTCTCTCTCTCAAAAATAAACATTAAAAAAATTTTTTTAAAGCAGCACACCAAGGATAGAGAACTGAGAGCCAGCGCTGTAGTGGAAGTTGAAGGCAAGATTAAGGGAATCATCTGAAGAGAAATTTTGAACTTCGATATAATCATTGTCAGGCACAGGAGTAGGTGTGGGACATGATTCTTATAACAATCCAGCAAGACAGGCATTATCTCTAGTTTACTAAGAAATGAGACTAAGAAGAAATTGCCAAAGACCACTTTGTAGTGGGTGGGCTGGGATTCCAACCCATACCCATCTGGCTAGGGATGGGCTGTAAACTGAACTTTTCACATCCTTATTTTATAAAGAATTCTTGCTCTGTCACCACTGCTGAAAACCTCTATGTATGTAGATCTCTTCTCCCCACAATGTGTACCAAACATTACAGTTGGCCCCTGTAAGGTATGGCATGACATTATGTAATGGGTTTGAAATTACAATGGTCCACTTATACGCAGATTTTCAATACAGTATGGTACTGTCAATTTATTTTATTCTGATTTTCTTAATAACATTTTCTTTTCTCTAGCTTACTTTAAATATACAACATTAATACATATAACGTACAAAATGGGTGTGGACCAACTATATTATTGGTTAGGCCAAGAGGTTATTAATAAAGTTTCTGGGGAATCAAAAGTTCTATGCAGATTTTTCAGGGCACCTGGCTGGCTCAGGTGGTAGGGCATGTGACTCTTAGGCTTGTAAGTTCGAGCCGCACGTTGGGAGTAGAGATTACTTAAAATAAACAGATCTCACCTAATACAAATGCTAACTTTTTAAAGAGATATACAGATTTTCAACTGCACCCATGCAAGAGGGGTCAGTGCCCTTTACCTCTGCCTTGTTCAAAGGTCAACTGTAAATCGTGTAGCTTTCTTGTGTTTCAGATCTTCCCTTACACCTTTGCTGTCATGGCCCTAACACATTTCATTTCTGTTTTCCTGATGTCCTTGACACTGCTGTCTCAATCCCACCATCCATCTTTAACACCACTGCAGGTTTCATTTTTCTAAACCATTACGGTGATTACCTGCTGAAATTTTATCAGTGATTCATTATTGTCTAGATGTGTAGTTTCCATAAGGTGAACCAATGTACCCTTGGGCAGCAAACTCAGAGGGATACCATGGATATTTTAAGCTGTGGGGTGAATCACAGTGATACTTGACATCTATTAGAAAATAAGTTACTAGGGGCGCCTGGGTGGCTTAGTCGGTTAAGCGTCCGACTTTCGCTTAGGTCATGATCTCGCGGTTCGTGGGTTCGAGCCCCGCGTCGGGCCCTGTGCTGACTGCCAGCTCAGAGCCTGGAGCGTGTTTCAGAGTCTGTATCTCCCTCTCTCTGACCCTCCCCTGCTCACGCTCTCTCTCTCTCTCCCAGAAATAAATAAAAATATTAAAAAAAAAATAAACAGACCTAGGGAAAAGTATATCCTTATGGAAAAAGATGATACTGGATTAGTATCTCATATCATATAGAAAAATCAACTTCAGATGTATTAAATATCTACTTATCAAAAACAAAATTTTAAAATATCATTTGAAAAAATTAAGTTTTTCAATATCTTTGTACAGGGTTTTCTTGTCACAAACAGGCATTGGCAATAAATTTTTAAAAATTGACAAATTTAATGATACTAAAAATTAAGAATTTTTGTTCATCAAAAGCCTACATATAGGATGAAATGACAAGTAACAAAGTTGGAGAAAATATTTATAATGCATACAACTACTAGATTACAATTAGTAATATACAAAGAATCTCTACTCATCAGTAAGAGGAGTACAAACAGCCCAATAGAAAAATAGAAATGAGCAGGCATATGACAGAAATAACATATATAGCCAATAAATATATAAAGAAAACGTTCAATCTTGTCTATTAGTCAGTAAATTATACATACCATCATGAGATATTATTTTATACTAATCCTTTTGAGAAAAATGAGAAGGTCTGAAAATACCATTTCTGTATTTCAATAACATCTTCCATGCATTGCTGTTCAATATAAAGTAACTACTAGAAAAGAGTTTGGATTTACCTCCTTAAGTTGAATGTTCACATACATACCTTGTGTTGTATCATTCCACAGGTAAGTCTATTTTCAAAATAAAACTTTGTACTTGTATATTAAGAGCTGTTCTTAATAGAAAAACCCAAATAAAGAGTTCTGTGCTTGAGAACTCTACAATTCTCTCTTTTGAGCAGGGGAAAATCCTGTTCTTTCTTCTTATGTTCCTCTCCAATGTGTCTTTTTTACTTTGACACCACCATCACATACATACATAACACTTGGTAACTCTGGTTACCAAATGTGTATGGAGTTTTTCCCATANTCTGTGCTGACTGCCAGCTCAGAGCCTGGAGCCTGTTTCAGTCTGTGACTCCCTCTCTCTCTGACCCTCCCCTGCTCACGCTGTCTCTCTCTCTCCTAGAAATAAATGAAAAATGTTAAAAAAAAAAAAAAAGAACCATTAGGTATTTCTTCGGGTGTCATAAATATTACTAAGACACCAGGGGCATCATGAATTGAGGAAGTTTGGAAACCTGTGGCCTAGATGACAAAAATCTACACTTCTGGGCCTGGCATTCAAGGATCTTCAAGACTTCTACTAACACCACGTACCTCCCACCCCGCTATTCCCTGGCTCAAATCTTTCTCCAGTATTTGCTCATTATTTGACCTTGGGCAAACCAACTTCTCTGCACCTATTTCCCTGGCTGTGAAACTAGGTAATAGTGTTTATTTTGTGATGGTAATGCAGACTGCTGAGAAGTACGGTAAGGAGGAACATGTATAAACACCATGAATGGCATGTTACAAATGCTCACTTAAGTGTCAGACACAATCCCCTCTTATCTTGAACCCTCTGATCAAGCCTTGTTTCCCTTACTCATTTCTCCAAGATTCATCCAGATATTGTTCAGCTTTTTATTCTTCAGCATGTCATGATTTTTTCCCCCTGGAGTTTCCAATGATATCCCCTCCTTGGGTTTAGTTTGCTAGAGCAGCTCTGACTCAGAGAAGCATTTTATTTACTAGATGATCGGGTTACCACACAAGGCTAGAACTCAGGAACAGCCAGGCAGATGAGATGCATAGGGCAAACAGTGGGGAAAGGAAGTGGGGCTTCCATGCCCTGGGCTTGTTACTCTCCCTAGACCTCCATGTGTTCACCAACCTAGAAGGTCCTCAACTTTCTAGCTAGCCTCTCCAAATGTTACTCTTCCTTCAGTCTTCATTCTACCTCCTCCATCAAGCGTTTTCCAAACAAATTAGCCCACAGTTAACTACGAGAGTACACAACTCTTTCACACAACCCAGTTAGTAAAGTATTGATGTTTGTTATTTAACTTCCATGTCACCAGCACCTGTTTTACCAAATAGATTGCAAGCACCTTTGAGGTGAAGAATGCCACGCTACGTTAAAGTTTCTTGAGCATCTAGCAAAGTGGAGGGTACAGATCACTGTTTGCTGAGTTAATATAACATATATGAATTCATCCAGGCTCCAGATCAGACTAAGCACCCAGAACACTTCCACATGTATGAAAGGCAGATGGAGCAGTAGAGGTCGGACGGAACAAGCTAAGGCAAGAGTGCACAAATGCCAGCTGGGAGTGTGAAGAGCTGTGAAGTGAGGGCCCCTTGGGAGCCCAGGCCATGAGTGAACAGAGTTTCTGTGCTGGGAAAGATGAGCAACAGTCA